ATATAATTGTATTCAAAAACAACCACACCCATGGAACAATGTTACCTTACAGAGGAAGGGAAGGGCTTCCTCAAATTGTTTTTAATACCTGAAGAGCCACTGTAGTCAGGGAACAAAGGAACAAAGCTGAGGAGTCGGCTGGCTACCTCATTTGGACGTCTATTAAATCTGCTCTGAAAATTCTGAAATAGACAGTATCCTTCTAAATTATGAGAAGACCATAGCTTTTGAAGACTGTCTTAATTAACATCAGACGAATGCTTTATTTTTACACCTCAACGACGAGAACAGAGACAGAAGCTTTCTCAAGTAGTCTCGAACTCGGGCCCCCTGCACAGGGCCTCCGTTCGTATTAGATGAATGTATGAGGAGCTGTGACAGCCTTGACCCTTGCAGAACAGCATGCCATATGACCTCAAGCCATCGCACTGTTTCATAGGATGAGGTAGAACAGGTAGGGAATCGGGTTTTATTTTCTACAGAAAAATAAACAGAAACTTTCATTTTTTGATGCAAGAGTAATAAGTATCAGGAAGAACATAAATGGCTTTCCTTTGGCTTTCCTGTCTTTTCATTAATACATGGCTTCATTATAATAATCAGAATCATAGTTCTTTGGGAAGACTTCACATTTTTGATGCTGTGCTGTGCCTTAGGATATGTTATACGATGCCCGTAAAGACTTTGGGTTTTTTTAAGAAATTACTCCAGATTTTGTTTACATTTTAGAAAGGACACAATAGCCCTTTGTCATTTATTTAAAAGCTAATGGTTGCCGAAATTTGTTTTCAAAAATGGGAAATAAGTTTCAAAACTGAGCAGGCAGAAGGAAGGGCTTCAACCATCTGTGTCACTGTCACCAAGTCTCATGAGCAAACCTTCCATTTCAGACTAGTGACTAAAACTCCGCTGCCAGGGCAGCACAGCTGGGCACCGCACCCACCGCCCGCAGAGGGGGAGGCCACCTGAGCCAGGCTCCCCGCGCCACCCAGCGGCCCGGTGGGCCACAGTGGCGCCTGTCTGCCTCTCACGGGCACACATGTGGCTGCTCCGGGGCCAGGGCTTGTCTCCAGCCTTAGGCACCTGGGGAGGGCGGGCATCCCCTCTGCTCTCCATCCCACTTCCCTCCTCCTGAACCTGCTTCATCTCCCAGTGCCAAGAGTGCTATAGTTAGCTTCATGTGTCCTAAGTATTTCACAGATGTTTTTCATTTATGTTTCACTGGAATGATTTTCTCTCTTTTTCTCAGGAAAAAAAATGTTGGCACCAGGATTGGGGTTGTGAATGGTCGGGGGTGGGGTGGCAGGGGAGGTGGGGAGTAAGGGGACACTGCTACTTACAGGGCCCCAGGGCACGTTCTGAAATTCTAGGTGACACTGCAGCCAATCCTTGGGCCTTCAGCGGAACCGCCTGGATCCTGCGTAGCTTCAGCTGCAAGTACTTCCAACAGATGCTAAAAATACATGGCAGTTTATTTTCCTCAGTAGGGAGCATATGTGTTCCCACTTGACCTGGAAACACAAAGAGATCCAATGTTAAATCTAGTGCTGCCCATTCCAAGATAAATTTGTTTTCTGTAGAGCAGGGGAAAGAAAAAACAACAGACCTATTGGTACAACTTTGCCTGTGCTCTCGGGGGAGTCAGTGTCTTGAACACATTCTTTATGCTCCCTGTTGGCAGTTAAGTGACCGCTCTCAGACTTCTCGGTCAATGCTGATACGAACTGGCTCTCATTCAAATCGGACGGTGATTCCAGGCAGATTTATTAAATTTGGGGGAAGAAGGGCGAGGAAAGCATTTTTTTTTTCTCTTACCAAACAAAAGCTATTGGTTGATAATAATTTAGTCTTTCTTCCCCTTCCCTTTCCTCTTCTTCAAATTTTCTTATAAGACAGAATCTAAAATGCCCTCTAACTGAAGTATAGATTTTATGGACACTTGCATTTAATCCTTCCTCTTTAAAATAAGCGAACAAAGAAATCAAGCACAGTTTATCTATAAATGGCAGAGAAATTCGGTTTCCCACTGTAACATTTAGTAACAGATGTTAATCCTAGTTCCTGTAATTTGGGGAGACTGCTTATTTAGACCTTTGGGTTGCCCAATATAACATTCTTCAATACATACTGTAAGAGCCAAGTTCACTTTTACTGAGGATGGGTGTCATCCCTGCTCTCCAGCTGGTACCACTTCTCTACAGCCTAAAATACACGGTCAGCTGACAGTGAACTTAGACCATTCCCTTCCCCCCCACCCCCAAGAAACAGCACATGATTAAAACACGAGCTTTAGACTCTGCCTCGTTGTCAGTCTGGATTCTGCCACTCGAAAGCTCTGTCTTTATATCCCTCCATCTGTAAAGTGAGGGACTTGCTGTTCAAGGCTGGTGAAGAGTGAATGAAATAGCACATGAAAAGCATGTAGCACAGTACCTGAGTGCAGAGGGAACCTTCAGCACATGTTAGCTAGTATTGCTGGTGATTATTCTTAGATCCCTCAGCCATCCCCAATAGCAAGAGTTCAGATGATGGCCTTGAAGATCCCCTGTGGTTAAACTGTCCTATGTCAAATTCGGCTTTATTTCTAACCCTCTTCTTTGGAACAAGCCTAAAACCTTTTGGACATGCCTGCCTTCTCCTCTTTCTGTCTTTCCCTTGGTTTCCTCCACTTTATTCTCCAAACAAAATCAAGCCAAAAAGAGTGTGGCCTAAAATCATGGAAGTGAGAATGTTTCCAAGGGAAGTTGCTTAACATTTTCAATGCTGGGAGGTCAAGGAAGGAAAGAGGGTGAGTGGACCTTCTAGAGAGCAATGTGCTGGCATACTGGGCATAGAAGCCAGATTACCCGGCCCAAGGAGGGAATCAGTGGAGACAACCAGACTGGCCCCAGACCACTTAAGATATTTGACAGAGAATGGAAGTAAGGCAATAAGACAGTAGCTAGGGGGTTAGCAAGGTCAAGAAAAAAAATCTGCCAAGATGGAGGAAAGTTGAGTACGTTGAAGGCAGAATAAAAGAAATTAGGGATGAAAGCTTCCTCGGAGCTTGTTGCTAGTCTACCAAGGGGTGAGAGCAGAGTACCCCTGCTGCCTGGGGCCATCCAGACTGTTACTGACAGATACTTAAGTAGAAGACTCTTGCCCAGAACACGCAGGATCCTCCCTGCTGGCTAGTCACATCTTTTAAGACCTAGCTCAAGACCCAACCTCTTCACGTATGTTCTGCTCCCCTAAAAGACTTGTGCCCTAGCACAGGGTCTGCACTCTGGGAGAAAGCCAGTGTGCATGGAATGTTACTGCAATCATATCGCAGTAGCTAAAATGAAAGCAGTACAGGGATTTCAGTGTAAGGAAAGCAGGATAAATGAAAAGATTTGGGAAAACTTATAGATTAGGTCCATGGCATTGGATAAATATCCAAGGCAAGAAAACTTTGAATAATCAGAATCTCTCTTCTCCAAACTGAGATGATCATTGTTTGCTTTTAGGAAAACCCTGACATGTGCAGGGCTTCCCCTACCTACATTTGCAGGGCCGGGGGCAAGACTACAACTGAAGGCCCATATATCACATACCTGAATGTTGAAATGTGCTACATCAGGCTAGCCCATGCTCCCTCTCATCCTAACCTGGGCTCCATCTAGCACAATAAGGAGCCTGTGGGCAAAGAGGGACAAACTCCATCCACACCCCACAGGCCTGGAATGTGCACTTAACTCCTGAATGGCTGTGAAACATTGCCTGCCTTCCACGAGCAGGCTTGAGGCTGTTTGTACAGGGATCTCAGTGTCCCTCATACCAAGCCCCTTCTAGAAGGCTGAAAGGGCTTGTCCATCCTGCCCCTCAGCCCATCAGAAACTTTATCACAAGGGGTAGGGTGTGGCAAGAGGAGGACCAGGTTGGGTGACCAGGGCAGGAGCCTTCTTGTCTGGGTTTATGAACCACATTGGACACAATTTCTTTTCCTGGAGTTTAATTTTATCATTGCATTCTCCTGATCTGATTTTCAAAGAACTCTTGGACAAGATTTTTTACAACAAGGCTTCCCTCAATATTGACAGCAACAGCACAGAGCAGGCCCAGGGGCTCAATAAGAATGTTCCTGCTGAGCAATCTCATTCACACCAGGCTGTGGTGATTCAGGGAGGGCGCAGAGAGGTCCCAAACAGGGTGTTGTCTGGTCCTAGTCAGCTCTTTTTATCAGATAAAGCAAGTTACACACTATCTCCTGACAGAAGGAAGGCACAATATTCAGAGTCATTTAAAATGGGAGTATAATTTTCTGATGGCTTCTAAAGGTCAACAGTTGAGCACAGGTTATTTAGATCTAATCCAAACCACTTTAGGACTTCAATTTAGCCATTTAAGTTAGGAAGCCAATGCCTTCTCCAGTCTCCTTTCCCAGCCTGAGGTTCAGATTTGAGTTAAAAGGAACGGAAGGGTGGAGACTTAGGGTCTGCCCACAAAGGTAATGTCCTCAGGGGAATAATTCCACATGTGGAGCAGGCGCACCTGACTCTACCCTTTACCTGGCTGGGAAGCTGCTTCATGTCTTGGGCCTGTTTCTTCCTCTGTGGAAAAAAAGGGTCAGCCTAGGTGAGTTAGAATTTTTCTTGGGATGCAAGGTCAAGGAATCCTCCAGCAACCTGATCTTCCAGGAAATCCTTCAGGTGACCACTGCTCAGCTGTCCCTGGTAACATACCCACATTTCCTCTCTGGGACCCACCTGTCGGAGGGTGCATCTTCCAGTTACAGGATGCAGAGCCAGGCTTGATAACCATCTCTGGGGCAGATTTCCACCTGAGATGTTTAGTTGCTCTCTTTGAAGAGGGAAACTATAACTACTAAAATGACTTCCCAGGATTATGGGTCCCCAACGGACAGCATCGTCATGTGTGACGGATAGCCACCAGTTGTTAAGTGATGGATTTAACCAATTAATTCAGTTTTGTGTCTCTCAAAAGTATTTATTTCATTATGAACTAAACTGGAGGCAGTGATGGAGGTGATAACCAGAGATTTAAAAGGTTTTAAGATTCTGGTAAATTCTGAAGAAATTATTAGCATAGATGTGACCTCAAGGAAACTTCCTCAAGGAGGGAAATATCAACCTTAAAAGTCAGCACTGGGCCGTAAATTCTGCCTGAAACAGGCTGCCATTTTCTCCAACCTGCAGCAAAACAAGTCCTGCACTGGTTGGGGAGATGGTATTTGTTTCACAGGGTTGCAGCGAGGATAAATGGGGCGCCCCAGATAAAACGCTGAGCTTCACCCTGCGCCCCTCGCCCCCCAGCTTCACCCCCAATGAGGCCTGCGGAGAGCCTGCTCAAAGCCTTCCCCAGGGGAGCTGAGAACGTGTCTCGGCCGGTCTGGCACAAAATAGGGCCTCAATAAATAAATATGTATCAGACGAATGAGTGGCGGTGGGCGTTTCTCCTTCCGCGCAGTTATTAGCTCTTACAAGGACACCCGGCCCCCGGGTTCTGCCAGCTCCTCACGGTGTGGAC